CCGAGTGTTTATTAGTGCATTTGCTTTTGTTCTTTTTTTAGTTACTTTTTGTCGTTGTCGTTGTTGTCGTTGCTGTGGCCTAGAAGTAGTAGTTGTTGTTGTAGCAGCAGTAGTAGCAGCAGCCGTATCAGTAGTAGTAATAATTGTAGTGGTAGTAATATTACTAATAGTAGTGGTTGTTGTAGTAGTAGTAGTACTAGTAGTAGAACAAGAAGCTGTAGTGGCAGAAGTAGCAGTAGTAGTAGTAGTAGTAACATTAGCAGCAGAAGTAGTAGTAGTAGTAGTAGTGGTAATTTTTGTGGTGATGATGATGTTGGCTGTGGTGATGTAATGTTTTATTCACTTTACTCTTTTTAATTTTGTTTTCAACCCAAACGTAGTGTCATTGTATTCAGTAAAGGTTGTTTCTGTTTGTGTTGATTTGTTTGTGTTTGCTTGTTTGTTTTTTTGTGGCTGTGTTTGTTTATTTGTAGGTGTGTTCGTATGTTTGTTTGGAGGTGTGTTTGTGGTGTGTTTGTTTGTATTTTTGTGTGTGTGTGTGTGTGTGTTTGTTTGTGTGTATGTTTGTTTGTTTGTTTGTGGGTGTGTTTGTTTGTTTGTGGGTGTGTTTGTATGTTTGTTTGGGTTGTTTGTTTGTATGTTTGTGTGTGAGTGTGTTTGTTTGTGAGTGTGTTTGTTTGTTTGTGGGTGGAAATGTTTGTGTAGCATTACCCTATTCAGCCAGTTTATTTCAAACTCTGTCTCACTGTAAATTTTTGAAACTGATTTATTCATTGACGATAATTCAAGTCAGTTAATCAGCTATTCATGTTTCCATTAAACAATCACACATAGAAGTTATACTGATGTATAATTCATAATTTATAAAGTTATATACCCAATAAATATCATACAGAATGTGTGTATTCGTGTAGAAATGTAAGCTAATTCGTATTCATGTAGGTACAGAATAGGTTTTTCATAAGGTATTCTATTCATAAATTCCTTTAGGAGATTTTTAAAAAGGATGGCAGTAGGTATTTTAACTACTATATACAAGCTATATAAAGAATGCATTTTATTCGTTATTTATAGATATATTTTTGGGTATATATGGGTATATAGTTGGGTATTATTTTAATCAGTGTCGTCAGATTAATCAACTGAGCTGATGATCAAAGCCATGTTTTTTTTTCTTGCTCTGTTTTGAGAGCATTTCATAAAAAGTTTGCTAATCAGTGATGTGTAGGTATGTCTGCGGTTTAAAGTTGAGTATGTTTGTTTGTTTGTTTGTGTATGTGTGTGTGTTTGTTTGTGTGTATGTGTAGGTATATATGTGTGTTTGTATGAGTCTATGTTGGTATGTATGAATGCGTGTATGTGTCACCCAACACACACACACATATATATATACACATATACACACACACACATACACGTACATACACACATGCATACATGAAAACAAAATGCAAACACACCAGACCGGCATAGATATAACATTTATAGATTCACAGACCATTTAACAGAGTTCGCTATGGCGATAATACATGGAGGGCGATAATACATCGATCTATAAGCTGCTCTGCCGGAATAATAAAACCGGACACTTTGATATCTAAGCATACCTACATACATACCGCATATACATAGACGTATTTACTGTTGTATCTATGTATATATATTTATTTATAGTTCTTTGGTGTTATATAAGTTTCTAACTAAGGTTGTTTATTGAATAGCTTTGCGTCGTTGTTTCTGCTGTTGTTGTTCACAGGAAGCACACACACACACACACACACGGCATAAACATCCACACATAATCAAACACACATTCACACATACACACACAGACACACGTATATACATACACGCACATACATACACAACACGTACGTACATACATCCCAATAGCTTAAAAATTTGAGTTTTTTTCCAAAAATTATATTTACTGAAAATAAACTTTAACGTTGTTCCCATGCAAACATCAATATAAATACATTTTGCACTTTAAGTATTTAGAGTGAGAGAGAGAGAGAACGAGAGAGAGAAAGAGAGAGAAAATGAGTGAAATTAAAAATGATAACGATTTTTGTATTATTAGAGCGTACATTTTTGAATATTTTTTGTTTTATTTTTTTGTATCAATTTTGCATTAATTTATATCATTCT